TAAGTTCCAGACCCACCAGGATGACACAGTAAAAACTCTATCAAAAGAAAAAACAAAAAAGGAAGGAAGGAAAGAAGGAAGGAAGGGAGGAGAGAGGGGAAGAGAGGGGTAAGGGAGGAAAGGAGGGAGGGAAAGAAAACGTGTGTGTGCGCGCGCACATCCATATATGTAGTTACACCACACAGGATGATGATGCTCCCCGAAAGAGCTATGAACTGACTAACAAAACCCGAGCTCCAGGCATGTTTAGTACTGCAAACAGCTAACTAACCATGACTAAGTAGGACAACCTACTATTGTCATTTTCTTAAAGCAAATTAATTTCTAACTATGTTCTGAATACTCAGCCTTATATCCACAGTCAAGGGTACACCTCATCCCTCAAAAAAGCGTCTTTTTGCAACAGATAAAAACTATTACAGAGGTCCACAACTGGTCAGCGTGCAACGAATAAGTGGCCATGGGGTGCCCAGTTCCGGTTAATACAAGTGCACTGCAATTCTGAACCTAAAGTTAGGGGAAAACTTGGAAGAGACAGGCTCCCTAAACATGACAGGTGAAGTACACCCGTGAACTCCCAACAAGACTGGCACAATGGCAACACCAACTGACATGCCAATGTGGATGAGGGAATTCCACAGGGTCCCACCTCTACATGAAAAGCTATAGGCATTTAAAGGCTGCTGTCAGAAGGAGAAGCAGTTTCCTTCAGGGAACAGCTCCTGCACAGGGTGTCCAAACCTTAGAAGTTAGCCATGGATACATGTGTATTTGAGCAAAGCTAAATGTACTCAGTAGGATATATATACATTCTTAATCTATTACTTTGAAATATGACATTTTAAAATGTCTGGGGGAAATAATTCATTATACATATGTAAATATATATAAACAATAATAATTAAAGATTTCGTGAATGTGGAACAGAGATGGGGAATTTGAGAGATATTGGAGAATAGAGAGGGATAGATGGGAATAATCTAGATGCTAAGCCCACGAATGAAATTCTCAAATTAAGTAAAAACTTTTAAAAAGAACTGTAAATGAAACATTCCATCCACAAACTCTTTGATCTACAATAGTGTCCTGCCGACAAGATATGCTAGTACAATAGGGGCACAAAGCTTGTGGGAATAAACAACCACTATCTGATTTCACTTAAGGCCCACTCCATGAGATGAAACCCACACCCAACACTGCTTGAGTGACCAAGAACGTGAGACCAGGAACCTAGGATAAAACCAATGCTACTATTCTAAAAAAAAAAAAAAAAGGAACAACAAAATGAGTCCTAATGACATTCTACTATCCTCATCAATCAGTGCCTTGCTCAGCCATCATCAGACAAGCTTCCTCCTGCAGCAGATGGGAACAAATATGGAGACCCACAGCAGATAATACACAAAGAGTGAGAGACTTTGGAACACTCAGTCCTAAATGGGATGTCTCTATCAAATCCCTCCCCTCAGGGCTCAGGGAACTCTGCAGAAGAAGAGGCCAAAAGACTATTAAGAGCCGGAAGGGATGGAGGACACCAGGAGAACAAGGACCTCTAAATCATCAAGATCTACACACATAGAAATCACAGAGATTGAGACAGCATGCACAGGGTCTGCACTGGTCTACATCAGATGGATCCTAGAGCTGAAAGGAAGAGTGGACATGTGCCCCATCCCTTCCCCAGAAGCAATCTCCAATGGATAACCATTTGCAGATGAAAGTTTAGTTTCCTCCAAGGAAGACTCACTGGATAAACTACCCTTAAGGGTAGGCTGCGTGCCCAACAGTGGATGGCCAACAGTAAATGATCTCAAAAACACCCTGGAGGTTACTTGTCTCATAATATCATGTCAGAGCTCTTCCTTTAAAAATTATATTATTTTATTTGTGTATTTTTTCTCTCTTTCTAACAAGTCCTTTTGTGTATATATATTATGGCTTCTAGTTTAGTGTTTTTATGGGATTCCTGAGTGTGCGAACAGTGGGTCTCTGTCTCTTGTGCCTTCTCTTGGGCTCTTCTCCTTAATTTTGTTTGATCAATGCCAATGTGTTACTTTTTATCCTACTTTATTTTATTTTGCTTTATTATATTTTATTTTATTATTAGACATTAGAAATCTGTTTTCTATGGAGAGACAGAAAAGGGGTGGAGCTGGATGGGAGGGAAGGCGGAAAGAAACTGGGAGGAGCAGAGGAAGAGAAAACCATAATAAGGATATATTATATGAGGAAAAATAGCTATTTTCAATAAAAGGAAAAAATTAAAAATAAAGACCTTAAACATTTAAAAAATAAAATGTGATGATGAAATTAGCAAATCCACTTTCAGGAGACATGAACTTATTTCTGTCAAGCAGATTGCTTTCCAATGAATTGGATGTAATGTAATGGATTGTTTCAAATAAAGATTTCATTTATCAATTACTTATTGACAAAATGGCCTGCTTGGTTATGATGCAACAAAAGTGATCTTTCATCTTATTTTGGGCATATATATTTAAGGTTCATTTATGAAATTATGCCCCAAGTTAACTCTTCTGTGCATTTAATTTAGGGCTGGGATCCTTGAAAGTTTTTTCCCAATAAAAGCCTCTGGACAAATTGCTTCTATATCTATATTGTCTTTTCATGATTCTGAGAGAAACTTCACATAAGCAATGGGAGCTTCTGAGAGTTGATTATGGCAAATCATTTTCATAATGCCTATATACTATTATGTTTATAATTAATTTTAAAAGCCAAGGTTCATCTGTTAATCACAGCACCCGCAACTTATTAAACAGAAAATAACAAAAAGACTATAGACATTAAATGACACTAGGCAGGGAGTGATGGTCCCAGACCTTAATATCCATTTTGGTACTGGGGTGGTCATCACCCAGCCTTTAGCAATATCAACAAAGATTTTAAGTAGTTCAACACATCTTAATTGCAGATTTCAAAATCTTTCGGTCTTTATGATTTATTTAGAAATATGGTATTAATGAAAGTCTGCTAAAGTACCTTTGAAAGAAAAAGAAAAGATTCCAACACTAAGTGCCCATGTGACAGCACTTGATGAAGCCACGCCCTTGTCTGCAGTTAATGCCACTGACAAAGAGAAGGCTGCATCTGTCATGACCTTCTCTGGCCACCTCTGGAAAGGATAGACTTGAAGGTTAAAAAATGAGAATTCATAAGTAAGACTCCTCAAGCAAACCTTTTCATTGACATTCTCAAATACACGTTTTAAGATTTCTACCCAGCTTTGGCCTTACCTTCTCAAGCATTTGACTGATAACCTGAAACTCCCTCTTTAGCTTGGACTTTTCTACTTCCTGTCTATTCACTTCAAAAAATATATTCTCAGGCCGAAAGGTGGTGGTGCACGCCTTTAATCTCAGCACGCAGGAAGCAGAGCCAGGCGGATCTCTGAGAGTTCAAGGCCAGCCTGGTCTACAGATGAAGCTCCAAGACAGGCACCAAAACTACACAGAGAAACCTTGTCTCAAAAAAACAAAACAAAACAAAAATACAACAAAAAATACATTCTCTATATCACAATGCTCTCATTATCGTGAGAAATAATGATATCATTTCCACTGGGCAGCTAAGGCTTCCTAATTTTGCCAGTTTAGATCACAAATCTTTATTTAAATTGCATGTCAATGAGTTCCCCACAATTTCTTATAAGTAAATTCCATAACAGAAATAAAGCTACATTCTACAGCCCCTCAAAAACATAGTTGAGCCAATATCTTAAAATCTGACATTTCATAACTTCTGAAGAAAAAATCATCAATTCATCATGAGCTACATTTCAACTCAAATTAAATTTTGTTCTGATTTACTGCATTTATTTACTAAGTATAATTCTAAAAGTCACCCTTGTGATTTAGTTATGCATATAAACATGCAAATTATTTGCATATATTGACATTATTATACCTCTCAGACAGAAAACTAATAGAACCTCTATCCTATGTTAAGCAGAAGTTATAAATTGGTTTTAAAGGCCATGTACATTTTTTTTTCATTTTAATCATAAGGACAATACCTAATGCCTTATAAGAGAGAAAACAAATTAAACTATTTTATTGCAGTAATAAGGAATTTTACAGAAAAGACTAAAATCAGAAAAAGGCCATCTATCTTTCAGTATGCCTTATAGTCATAATAATCATAATCATATCTCATTAATTTTATGTGTCAACATGCTGTTTGAGTTAGGGATGAATTCTGAATTTATCTGGCCCTTAAACATCAATTAATATCTCCTAATTTACTATTTACCAGTCTTGGATGCTCTTATTATATCAAACCTGTGTTCTTATGAAAACCATGTGGGGTTGCCAGAAAAGAACTCAAAGTAAATATTTCTTCAATTCATATCTTTAAAAATAAATCTATGATTATCCAGATAAAAATCAATGAGGTTTTATGTTACCTCTTTTTCCCATAGGATCTGTAAATACGTGTTTCCACTGAGGTAAAATGATGGGTGAATATCATGGAAAATTGGAAGAACTCTCTCTGTAAAGATACACATTCCAGGCTGGAGAGATGGCTCAGAGGTTAAGAGCACAGGCTGTTTTTCCAGAGGTCCTGAGTTCAATTCCCAGCAACCACATGGTGGCTCACAGCTATCTGTAATGAAATCTGGCGCCCTCTTCTGGCCTGAAGGGATATATGCAAGCAGAAGCAGAACACTGTATACATAATAAATAAATCTTAAAAAAAACATATATATATATATATATACATATATATGTATATATATATATGTATATATATTCCAATGGATTATTTCAATAACACAACAGTTTCTCTTGTTCATTTTTAATATGTGCTCAGGAAGGCTCCATACATAATTTATAGTGAATAGAAAAACAAACTTCATTTTATACCAGAATGAGACACAATTACAAAGAAATAAGCCTAGCTAAGTTTACCAATATTGCTATGACAAGTAAATGGCATAATAGGGCTGTTCATTAGTGCCAGAACTCAAATCCATCTACCTTGAAAAGCAGCTGCATTTCGAGATATTAGCAACTTTAATGTTGAGCTGGATGTCTGAAGCACCTGCTGCAAATCTTGCCGAGCTGCAATCTGGTATCTCTCCTCCATCTTCCTGGTACAGCATGTGGGGTTTTTGGATACACAAACCTGGAGATCAGGTCCTGAAAAACAAATGGCATTTTGTACAATGACTATCGGTCCATTTTAGAAACATAGCATGGCAAACATTATGGCCAATCCTGCATGCAAGAGGTTTGTGTATAGTGTGGGAAATTGAGTCTCAAGTGCATTTGCTATCAGAAAATTTACCTATCATCCTACACTGAGTCCAGGTATCCTTGGGATGCCTAGAGGTTCACACCATACTGTTCCATAAAAGTATTCCTCTTTGTGCTAAATATTTGAGCGAAGAGTTGATAGTTTAGGCTACCTGGGTTTTATGTAATGTTCACTGAAAGTTTGTTTGAATTGCCTACTCACAGTTTTTCTTTTTGACAGTGTTCAGAACAACCACATTCATCTCTGTGCTAGCTAATATTATTACTGAAATGAACAAAAATAAAATAGGTTCACATGCACACACATACCCATATGCACTGTGCCAATGTACAGCTCCCTTTCAAGCCCTTCCTCCACATTCAGAGATAGTCTGAGGGTTCTTTACTGAAGTTGATTTTTGAAAAAAGCCAAAACATGAAAAGTCACTCTATTCTTTCTGCCAACATGGGATACCAAAAACTCTGACAATATTGGCTTTCGTTTGCTGAAGTTAAACAACAAATGACAATATTTGAGCATTTTAAAAGCTGAGAAGCATAAAATATTTATAAACATCACAGTAGGTAATAAGTTGGCATTCTTTCATTTATCTTACCTAAAGTTATACAAAAGCAAATTCTATTTCAAATAGTAAAATTGATTGAAAGAAAACAAAGCTCTCTTCTCAGGTTTATTCCTAAATGGAGGAATCAGGGGATTAGCATTCAGAAAAGCACAATAATAAATAGAAAAAAGAAACAAGTATTGAAGCATATAAACCTATTAGGTATAAGAATAACTAAGAAGGACTTCAAAATAACAACAGTAGATTATTACAAACATGACTCCAGAATGCAACACTGGTCTCTAGCTCACATTCCCATGCTTGGCCCACAAAGACACCCTGAACAACACACCCTCTGTGTGGCTTGAATAACAGTGGCCCCTATAGGCTCATATTTGAATGCTTGATCACTAAATAGTGGCACCAGGTAGTAGCACTATTTGAAAGAATTAAAAGGATCAGGAGGTGTGGCCTTGTTGGAAAAAGTGTGTCACTCTCATTTTCTCTGCCTATGGATCATGATGGAGCTCTCAGCTACTGCTCCAGCACCTGTCTGCATGCTGCCATGCTCCTTCCTTAATAATGAACTAGCCTCTGAAACTAGAAGAGAACCCTTCTCTTTCTCACAACCTCTGAGACAGCTCAAGTCCTTATAGCATATATCTACAAGGGGACATATATCTCTCCACTACAATTATCATGGTAAGATTTTATGTTCTTTGATGTGATATTTAATTAATTAATTCTCCCACTAATACTGAAAATCCCCAAGTGGACCATTTCCCACTTGTCAATTATTCCAGTCACTGAGGACATGCCCCGTATATCATAAACAGTCAATAACATAGACATATTATATCCTTTAATCCTTACATCAACTTTATGATCTATACACCATTACTGCCACATTTCATGTACAAAGAAATAGAGTTTGAAAGATGCTTCAAACTTCATTGTGTGAAGATGAAGATGTAGCTCAGTGATAGAGTGTTTGCTGATATATGTAGGGCTCTGATTCAATGTCCAGCACCTCAAAAAAATTTTTTTCTTTTATATTAGTTGAGTAGGGTAGTACACACCTGTCTCAGGAGGTAGAGAGAAGAGAATCAAAATGCAAAGTCAGCCTGGGTTACATAGGATGTTCTAGGTTAACCTGGAATACATAGTGAAGCCTTATCTCAGAAAAGGAAGGAAGGAAGGAAGGAAGGAAGGAAGGAAGGAAGGGAGGGAGGGAGGGAGGGAGGGAGGGAGGGAGGGAGGAAGGAAGGAGAAAAACACACAGTTGTCCAGTGTCAACACACCAATAGACTAAAAATGGTAGAGCTGAAGTGTGAAAACAGACAAGCTGACTCTCAAATCATAATCGCCACCATTATTCTACCAAGAGGGAAAGCAAGTCTTAAATCTATAATCAGTTGGTTTATGAATATAACTGGCCATTTCTTCTCACTACTTAGAAAGGAGGCATCTGTTTGGAAAGCTTCAAAATAATAGATTTAAGATTAGGAACTATCAAACGAGATTTATTCAAAATCGACCAGTCTGAAGTGCAGTTGTAGAGCAGTCATTTGCCCCTCTGCCCAATTGTAAATGATGGAAACTACAATTAGGAAGACAGTACAAACTGTTCTCACTGCTGTTCTGAGCATGTAGAACAGCCATTTGATTTCCGTAGATACCATTCCCTTGTTAATGAGGGTTTGTACTGGCTGAAGTTTTCATTTACAGTCTTGAAATTTTATAATGGGAACACAAGACTAAATTTCAAGGCAGTCTGACCTATGATACCACAATTCAAAGGTCACCTTATTTTTAATTGCATATATTTTAATCACTATCACCTACAAGGTATGTTTAAATGACTTAAAGTTATGGTACCAATGCAGGTGAAAAAAAGATGATTTAAAGAGAACCTTCCCTTTCTTCTTATGTCTGTCCAAAGAAAGACAAGATTCTAAAGTAAATAAAATCTTCAGGGAAAAGACCAGATGGTACCTGTTCACAGTGTAAATACAAAGGCCATGTTATGATGCTTGCTGATAAAAAGCCCACACCGTAGTTCTCCGACAGTAAATAAAATAGGCATTGTGAGAAAGCAGAGTCAGAGAGAACACAGACATGCACCACAGGTAACAGGAAGTTCCTTTCTTTCTAAGATATCAAAGCCTGGCTTCAAGGAATATGGCATAATCCCAACACTCTCTGAAATGACAAGACAGCCCTGGCTGAAAAGCAGGTATCGTGTTCCCAAACAATAAATTCAAACTCTGCAGGGAAAGCTAACAATAAAAGGAAATTAAAAATCAAATAGTAAGTAGTTCACAGAAGGAATCATCAGCCAAGGTACCAGGATTTCTCTAGGTTCTCATCCAGGAGTAGCCGGGTCAGGGAGGTGGAGGGGAGGTGGTCAATTCTTGTCTGTTCCCAACATAAAACACTCACAGCTACCAGCCTGTTTAAGTACTTGTTTATCAAGTTAAAACAGAAACACCATGAGGCATTCTGCTAAGACAGGATGGTAACAGTGTGGTTTTTCACTATTTCGAGATCCTCACATATAACCAGAAAAATTTCCTTAAAAATTAAAAAAAAAAAAAATCAACTCACAACACACTGTATAATATGACACCTCCAAAGCTTTAAACTACAGACATGAAGGAAAAACTATCAACAGCACGATCTTTGCAGTATTAGAGTATAGGAGGGAGGGAGGGAGGGAGGGAGGGAGGGAGGGAGGGAGGGGGGAGCAGGCAGTGAGGGAAGTGGCTGACAGAACAAGAAGAGAGGCTGAAATGGAAAACAAACACAGGAAAACACAGCCACGGACTTGGCAATGCTGAGAGCCCCTTTAGGGAAAGGCAGCGCTGAACAGAACAGCCCTGACCCCACGCACTCCGCCAGGGCTCTTTCTGAGGACAAACCCCAACTTGGTAGAAGAACTTTAGGAAGTAGACTCAAAATGTAAGTGAGCCAGGAGAAATAGGAAGATGTCCAGGCAACTTAACAACGTGCAGCCCACCAACCACAGGGGGCACAGAAAGTTAAGAATGTTCTAGAAGGTGATCTTCATAGCGGGTAATCTCCTGTGTCACAATGTCGAAATGTTGGGCGACTAATTAGCAAACAAGGGAGTAAATCAACGGAGGACATGGAGAAAACAAATAGCCGTGTTGAGCTACCTACCTGTCTGTTTCTCCCTTTCTCCCTCTCTCTCTTTCTCCCTTCCTTCCTTTCTTCGTTTCTTTCTCAACTTTCACTTTTAAGATAGGGCGTCAGCACAGAGCTCAGGCTGGCTTAGAACTCTCCACGTAAACTAGACTGTTCTCACCTGATGGTGAGCCTCTTGCTTCGGTCTCTCAAGTCTCGTATTACCGACGTGAACCACCATGTCGATCCAAGCAGTCATATTTTTTAAATCTTACACAAACACAATAAAAAAGGAAGTTCTTTAAAATTAGAAAAGCTATTTTGAGTCTGTCTTGAAACAAATATTCAAACAACAAAAAAAGAACTAAACAAACAAACAAAAATGAATGACAGAAAATATTGTGTGGTATATCATTATTTTTTAGTGTGTTCTGCAACAGAGTAGCTAAGTCTCTGATCTGATTTTTGGGCACCCTTTCTGCGGCGTGTTCTCTGTAGGATGTTCTCCATTCCCCCATTTTGTTAGGATGATTGTGTGTGAGATTTGACATCAGCGGTTTCTGAAATTCATTTGTTTGTTTGTTTGTTTAGCTTTTGTTCGCTTGTTTTTTTGTTTGTCATGAATTAGAAAACCCAACAGTCAAGGTGAGAGTACTCAGGGAAGAAATGAAGACGACAAGGAACGTCTCTGAAGAATCAACTGGGGAAACAGAGGCATGACACACAGGCCGTGCTGGAAGGAGAAACGAGAGGAAAAACACAAACTGTGAAAAATCAAAAAGAATGAAAAGATCTGAAATTTAGTGGCAACAAATAGTAAAGGGAGGTGAGATTCCTACAGGGGACAATGAGAATTTAAAAATGCATCTTGGGGGAAATGGGAGGCGTGGAGGGAGGGGAAACTGCAATCAGGATGTACTGAAAACAAACAAATGTAAATGTATCTCATGTTATTCTGAGGATGTTGTGTTAATACAGGCTTAAGTGGGCATTTGTGAAATATTCAAATTTTATTTTGAGTTCCAACCTGTATTCTTGGAAATTAAAATTTTTTTCCATATGTAATAAAATAAGATTAAATAAAATCCTATAATCTTGAATTTGAAATATGAATAAAAATCATCACAAATTTTATCATTAAGAAGTGTATTTCTTAGTATCTTAGGAAAGGCCTAGAAATAGTGACTCAGT